CGTGAGTGGCCAGTGAGAGAACATTTACAGCCTGGTTCGCACAATGTTATTAATCAATCTCTGATACCTGTTGAAAAGATCTTACTACCACCCCTTCACATTAAACTTGGTCTTATCAAACAATTTGTCAAAGCATTAAACCCAGATAGTGCAGCATTCCAGCATATTCGGCAGATGTTTCCAAAGGTGTCAGATGCAAAAATTTCAGCAGGTATATTCGTTGGTCCACAGATTAAAGTTATGTTGGCATGTAAGGAGCTTGAGGACAAAATGTCTGCTGTTGAAAAAGAAGCATGGACTGCATTTAGACATGTTGTTCATAGCTTTTTAGGCAACAATAAGAGTGATAACTACAAAGAGATAGTGGAAAACTTAATTGTACGGTACGCAGATATGAAATGCAGAATGTCTATAAAGCTGCATTACCTGCATTCACACTTGGAATTTTTCAGACCAAATTTGGGTGATGTGAGTGAAGAGCACGGGGAACGTTTCCATCAGGATATTCTTGCAATGGAGAAAAGATACCAGGGCAGATGGGATGCAGCTATGATGGGTGACTACATCTGGTGTTTGATACGCGATGACGAGAAACTTCATAAAAGAAAACCTCGTTCTACTGTTCACTTTTAGTGTTTTTTGAGATTGTGAGAGACTGTTACAATACAATATAATGTAACATTATGTAATATATGTAAGAAACATGATGTAACATGAAGTTTTGTAACATAACATAACACTTTTGAATTAGTAAATGTTTTATATTGACTAAAGTAGAATCTAATGCAAAACGATTTATATTAATTATATGTTTAATTGATTTTTTGGTTTTACGACCAAATGATTGATGCAATAAAAAATCCAATGTCATATTCAGACTCAGCATACTCAAATTAATTAAGAAACATCAAAAAATTTTGATAAACAGAAAATTTTTTTTTTTTTGTTACATGGTGATATATAAGGAATGCTTTAAATATATAAAGAAAGCTTTAAATATATAAGGAATGCTTTTAAAATACAAAAAAGCAAACTTCAGGCATATTACAATAAACAAATCTCAGCAAATAATAAAAACAAAGTGTCAATGAATAAATGTCAGCTTAACAAGACAAACTTAATATGATGGTTCTTTGTATAAAATGACATAGTTTTTTGTTTGATTTTGGTGTAGAAAGTTTTCAGTGGTTTTTGATAAAATAATATACCTATTATACATAGTATATTGTATCTATACAGGACCTTCGAGAGAAAGGGGCAAAGGGGGCAAATTGACCGGGCGCCAAGGTTGAAGGGGCACCAGACAATCCGTTAGTTTTTTGTTGTTTTTTTTCACAATAAATAGAAAACATTTTAATAATTTACAATGTGAAACCTCTTTAGTTTTTGTATTTGACATTGAAAATTTAGTATTCGGAGTAAAAATGTACATAAAAAAAGTAGTTTAAACTCTAAAATCTATTATAATAATTATTTATAAACTATTTTTCACAAAAAATTAGGATTTAGTTGTTTTGAAAGATGCAGCGGGGCGTATTCTGTAAGCCCATGAGCAGTTAGCTATGTTAGCTTGTGCTCGATTGCACTGAAGATGATACGCTGTTGTAGTTATAATGGTAGCTAATCAGTCAACATTGAGTCATTGAAACAGTCGACACTAATAGCACTGAAAACTTCATTAGAGTTCTCAGTGTTATCAGTGTCGACTGCTTGTTATTATTCGCGGAGAATGTGATGTTCAACCTGACTTGGTAATTATAAATTCTATAACCTCTTTGAGGTCTGAGTCCAAAAGATTAAAATGTAATTATTTTAAAGGGCCCCCATCAGAAAAGCAGTATTTAAAAGCGGTTAATTGTCTATTCTTCGTTGAAATGGAGTAGCTAGGAATCAATGGAGGAAACTCATAGATTGTGTGAAGCAGCATCAGTCCAGCCCATTGCACCACAAGTTCTACATATATTAGAAAGCGGCAAACATTCGTCGTACCAGCTCCACTGGTATATATCCAGAACTCCAAAAGTAAATAAATTTTGAGACAGCTAAATGGAGCATATTTCTTTGAAGAATTATGGATGTGACTCTTTTCCAGGCTTCTAGGAATTTAGCTTTTATAGGTCATATAATGTCTCATCATAAAGTTCTCTCAATATCAATTTTAATTATATATTTAATTATTGTATAATTTAGTTATAATTACTATATACAACTATGAATGCAAATATAACAACTTACGTGAATGAAAATTTTCTGGCTGATATGGAGTTTACTGGTTGCCACAACCCCGTCTTTGCATCCTACTTGGAAAATGTAAGACGTCATCGACAAGCGGGCTCCAGAATAAGTCCTTACTTCTCTCTATCGTTTCAAAATGAGTTCATTAGAGAATATAGTGGTGTCACCCGTTTTTTTTAGTGTAAGTTTTAACCGATGGAAGATCCTCACTTTAGCAACAAGCATTTCACTTCATAGATATTTTATGTCAAAATAGGGCTCTCGTACCGACTTGATCAAGCCACTTGCCAAATAGCCGAGAAATATTGACAGCTGTTAAACATGCTATGGAAAACATCTAACCAGTAAGCAGCTCAGCCTAGCAAAAAACTTAAAAAAATGATTATTATCTTTTGAATTTGTATTGCTTGTTTTGGAACAAAACCTATACAGCTGTTAACAACGTTAATTGTCTTCCACGATCTGAAGCCATTACCATAGATGCCAAGCTACGTTTGATTAGACAGTTGCTGGAAGATCTTAAATAGATTAGGGACTCTTGGTTATAAGTTTTCCAAGAAGCTGTGACTGTAGCTGAACCGCTAGGATTTGAAACCTAATTTGCTATTAAAAGAAAGATTAAACTAAGGCGCTTTCACGGTAAAGCACTAAACACATTCCATTTCAATGACAGCAAAACAAAAGAATTCAAAGTGAACGTTTTTAATTTTAATTTAGATGATCTGATCGAGCAGATTGATTCAAGATTTTAGGCGAGCAGGATGGTTGGCAATATATTTTTATTCATCTGGTTGAATAATGATGATCTATCCGTTTAAAATAAAGATTGAAAACTTGCACGGTTTTATCCGAGTTATAAGAACAAATAGAATCTCATTGAAGAAATTTGTCTTTTAAAAAGGGCCGCAAAACAGCTTTCAAGCAACGAAATCCAATGCAGCTACTCAATCAAATCTTTGAAAAGAAGGTTTAACGCCTTTTTCCACACATTTGCATCATACATCGGATTTTCAATACTATTCCTGAGTCAGTTGCTGAGGGTAAACGATCATTAGTAAACTAAAAAATGTTAAAAATTCTCTCCGTTCAACCTTGGTCCAGGATCGCGTTATTGATACTTGATTATTTTGATTAAAGAAGATTTGGCTAAAAAGGTGAGCGAGAACAATGTCACGATGTTTGGGCTGCCAAGAAAAGCTCAAAAAATTCATTTTAAAAAGCCTTATCAACCTTTCTTGAAAATTTTGTTAATTGATTTTTTGTTTATTAGTTTTGAAACTAATGTTTTGATTCATAAGTCAGTATTGATTAATGACCCTTTTCTCAATTCAGAGAGTTAATAGTAAAGAAGAAATACAATGTACTGTATTGGAAATAAATAATTGCTGCGTTCACAAAACTTTAAATTTTGTAATCTGTAATTTTGAAATAAGGCGCCGTTATCCATTTTTGACCCGGGCGACTTTCGCGCTCTCAAAAGCCCTGTATATATATATATATATATATATATATATATATATATATATATATATATATATATATATATATATATATATATATATATATATATATATATATATATATATATATATATATATATATATATATATATATATATATATATATTTATATATATGTATATATATATATATATATATATCTATATCTATATATATATATATATATATATATATATATATATATATATATATATATATATATATATATATATATATATATATATATATATATATATATATATATATATATATATATATATATATATATATATATATATATATATATATATATATATATATATATATATATATATATATATATATATATATATATATACAGGGCCTTTGAGAGCGCGAAAGTCGAAAATATATATATATATATATATATATATATATATATATATATATATATATATATATATATAAATATATAGTATATTGTCAGGGCCGGCGCGAGTAGGTGTCACGTGGGGGGGGGGGGTGCCATTACAACTTTTGCCGACTAAAAAAAAAAAAAAAAATTTCCAAAATTTGCCGACTGTCATGACGACATTTGCCGACTGTCTAACCTATATTGAAAGGGGGTCCACATTTGCCGACCAACTAGGTCCAATTTGCCGACTAAGGGTCCAATTTGCCGACTAAGGGTCTAGTTTGCCGACTAAAAATCATTGATGGGGATGGGGGGAGTGTCACACCCCCTATCGCGCCGGCCTTGTATATTGTGATGATAACACTCAGTTTTAATAAAGTAATGCAGTAAAGCATAAGAGTATTGAATATGGAAGTCAAACAAACTTTATCTTTAATCAAGTTGATGAAAAGCCATTGAACAGTATTGTCAAAAGGACTTTTTAATCCGTCTATTTCAAATGATTTCACCTCCGCCTATTTTAAATGATATACTGGTCAAAATTTCACATCGTTAAGCGAATCATAATTTCAAAATACATGTTAATGTTAACAAGAGACAACTTTGGTTTTAAAGAACATGTACACAGCAAGGACTACTATACAGAAGGACGCGCCAAGTCGATTTCCTGACTCCGCTAGCGAAGGCCAATTTAATATTTCTCACTTAACTCCTAAATAACTAAAATTGGCTTAAACAACGTTTTATAAAATCAAAATTCTGAAATACGATTAAAATAATTTTACGTTATTCTTGCGGCGAACGTGACGTCACTTTAACTAACTAAACGGCTACCATTATGGTATGGGGGAAAACAAAGCGCTTGAAAATGGTGAAATGTGTTTTTGATTGTTCACTTAATGTAATAGTCATCCGAACTTGATTTTTTATATTTTGTTTCCTGATCCAAAGAGAAGAAAATCGTGGCTTTATGCTTTATATAGAACTGATTCATCTTGCTAAAACAAACTTAGGTCGCAAAACATGTCTAAGTATGCTCAAAACATTTTGTATCTGGTAAGTTTTGTATTTGAATCGTCAAAATATTTGAGCACTAATTTTTTCTTGAACTTATTAAGTTTTTTATTCATTGTAAGTATGTTTCTCTTTTAGGAAAAAAAAGAACATAGTCTAGATGCTTTTCAAAATTTTGAAAAGCATGTTGACTATGTTATATCAGTAAATATGTTAGGTGCTAAAAAATATATATAGTGAAATCATCCCTCCAACATAACCAATTGTTATGTGAAATGAAAGGAGAATAAATAGATTAAACAATTCAATTAGTATATACTATATAGTATTATATATACTGTATAAACAACAAGATAAACTATATAATATAGTTTATCTTGTTGTTTAAAATGTTTTTGTAAAAACTGTTTATGTAATAGTTACAATTTATTTTTGTTATGCATTGATGCATAACAAAAATAAATTGTATATATAAATGTTAATGCATTAAAACTAAGCATTTATAAATCATGTGTTTATTGTTTTTATTTTTAAATAAATTAATGTTCAATAGCTTGTTAAGCACAAATTTTGTATTTACTATATACCTCAAACATGCTTATACTTTTTTAGAATATTATGTACAAAAAAGTCATTGCAATAAATCTCAAGTTATTAAAGTCAGTTAACAAATAAGTACTGACAATTCATTGACTGGAGTGGAAGATGTTAGTGTCTTGAACCAACATGAAACAACAAGTTAACTTAGCTGAGAATGATGGTAGTTTAAAAATAATGCAGCATTGACTAGGTAAGTGATTATGTGTATGTTGGCTCACTCATAAGTCAATATATATGTGTTTATGTTCTGTGTCGACCTCTGGTGTCGTGTTGGCTCACCCTTTAGACATTATATGTGTGTTTGTGTTCTGTTTCAACCTCTAGTGCGGTGTTGATTCACTTGTAAGTCATTATGTGTATAATTTTATTTTGTTTTATTGTGTTATTATAGTGATGTTATTGTTGTGAGGCTTTGTGTTGATAGACAACTTTGCTTACTTTCTCGTTGGTGTCTCTTGCTACAAATGATTATTAGATTATTAGAAATGATTATTTTTACTTGAACTCGTTACTTCTAATCATTTACTAATAGGCAAGAAACATGTTTTAAAGTAAAACATACTTTTAATGTTGTCATTTTTAATCTTTAGGATTGTTCCTCGGTCACAAAAACAATCTTACAAAGTAAGTTTCTTCTTTATTATTTATTTAGTTATATTTTTAATTAAATTTTTATTTTTCATGTTAACATGATTCATAAAACATTAATTTGTAAATGCTTTCAGCATAAATTGGTTCTATTTTCTTTAGTAGAGTTTCTGCTGTTGTCACTGGTTTTAGAGAGTACCTTTGTGAATGAAGATAAAAAGTCATTTATGTTATTTTTTAAAAGCCAAGACATAATATTGTTAATCCTCATACCATTTACTAAAAAGCTTTATAAATATTGTTACGATGTTATAATTCAAATTGTTGTAATTAGTAATTTTGATCATTTCATTATTATACTGTAAAAAATATTTTTTATTTATAACATTTATTTCACATATATTAAAAACATGAGGAATAAATATTACACTGAGGAAAATTTTAAACAAAATATAGAATTTTTAAATGTTATTAGAATATCAATATGTAATATTTTTGTTTTATTTATTGACTACATCTGTAAACTGTGCAATAATTTCAAAATGATGAATTAATTAAATTCCATGTTTCCTTTAAGCATTTGCACAGATTTATTTCAATATAACGCTAAATAATGTTCTGGTAACGTTCAGCAGCTTTTTTAGATAACTTTTCTTGATAATCTTAAGACATTTTCGAGGCGTAATGATGTACTGAAATCAGCGCGTTTGTTTGCCCCCATATCATAATGGTAGATATTTTTGTTTTTAATTACGCAATGATCACGTGGTTTTTTCGCCGCAAGAATTGTTAATAACAAAATTAAAACTTATTTTAAAAAGCTTAAAAGATCGATATAAAAAACCTCTATAAAAAAACAAAGAACATATTATTGACACAATTTATTTATAAAGAAATAAACATATAAACATCATATTCTCAAAAGACTTTTTAACTATGTTAAAACTTTTTTTTTTTAAACATTATGAACTTAAAATAACTTCTTAAAGAAATAAACAATACAATATTTCTCAAGAAAAAAATCTAAAAAAAAAGATTCACTACTCAGCAAGGTGTGCCTTCTTAATTAATGTCTGATAAAGACATGCATTTTTTGCTTAGTCTTTATTCAAATTCTGAATTACATGCAGTAGAACATTTGCCAAACGCCTAAAACGACTCTTTGATGATAAACCAAAATCATAATATGTGTCCATTATAGATAGAATGTTTATAAATCTTTTTCTACAACATGCTCTGTGCTTTGTTTTTTTCACAAAGCATAAACCAATTCTAACTAGCTGATATGTACACTCATGTGGAACTGTCAAATATTCCCTTGAAACTTCTTCGAAAAAATCTTTAGCTTTATTTGTTAGTTCAGGTTCATCATCCGGATAAACTAGTTTGCCTTCACATTTTTTCTCAAGCCATCCTGCTACATATGCTCTCTTCAGTTTTAGAAAGACTCACATCATAAATGCATGTTTCAATTAAGGTTGCATCTTCAATACTAATTGGACCCTCACATATGTGACCTATTTTATTGGGTTGTCCTATTTCCACTGATTCTAAAAATAATGCAGCAAATCTAGCTAAACGCTTTTTAAAAGCAGAGAAAACATCACCAGCTGCCATAAAAGCATTTGCCCCTGTTGATTGTCTATAAACAGAAAATTCTCCTTCTATTCTATCACTTTGTAGTTCATGAAGCAAAATATAAGCAAAACCAACTGAAAACAAATGTATGCAGACAGCTATCAATCCTTCTGTAGTTTTCACAAGGGCTTTTTTGGTATCATCTAAAAACAATTGAAGATTATTTGAATTTTTATCTTGCACAGATCGGTTGTGATCTCTCAATCTAACATCCTGCCTTTTGCAGAAACTAACAATATTCCACCAATCTAAAATTTGCTGGATAAAAGAGGATGTTTCATAAACTCCTTTTAGTTTAAGGGAAGCTACTACTTTCTCATTAAACACTCTTAAAACATGCTGCACATTCTGTAGTTGAAGTCTCTAATGATAGACAACAGCATAGGATAAAAGAACTGTTTTCAAAATGTTCTCTTTCTTGTATTGATATAGACTTTTCATATCTGAAAATGAAGCTATGGTTTTATTATCGAGAGATAGCTTTTGACTTTTTAGAAATCCAGTTATTGTGAATACATTTAAGTAGATGAACTGTGTCAAATAAAAGAAAACAAACACGCTGATTGTCTAATGGATGAATGGCCTGATAGTCTGTTATTCTGTTAAAAATTTTGCAGTATAGATGATTGATTTTATGATTATCAGTTACAGATCCTAAAACTATTGCACCATGTTTTTCAAATATAATAGCAGCTTCTTTTGCAACAATTAACTGATACAATGTGTTAGTTTGTGAACAGGGGTAACAGAAATTATTAAACTAGGTCCACCATGTAAGCATTTCATCATGACACATAGCATAGAGGTTGCATTGGATTCTGGATAATTTCTTGCCATCCCATTTAAAACTCCACACAAATAAGCCTAATTTTTGTTGGCCTAATTTTTACCTCATCAAAATAACATTTTTCTGTTGATTATTCTTTACGTTTTCAAATGTTTTTTGTAAAACATGGTCAATGTTAGTGGCAGAAATTATAGACTGAAGCTTTCGCTTACTTGGAAGGACTAAATAATCACAAAGTTGATCATAGTTGCAGTTATAAAAAGACTCGATTGCAAGCAATAATCAGCTATAGAGAAACTTTTTTTGAATAAGAGTTTGAGTTGTCTTGTAATAAAAGTTAATTTTTAGTTTCTATCATCATTTAATTCAAATTCATTTTCTAAAAGAGTATTTGTCACCTTTTCAATAACTTCATTAACATGCAGATTATAATTATGAACTAAATTGATTGCTTCAAAAAATTGTGAATAGAAAATTAAGCCATTGTTTGGATACAATATATTAGCTAATGGAACGGAAATTCCATGTTTAAAAGCTGAAAAGGTGAGCGGTGAACACAAGGTACACTTATCATAAACAAAAATCGTCACAAAACTCTTTTTGAAATCTTTTGACATAAAAATGCATATGAGTTTATCGTCTTGTCGAGATATTACTATATTTTTATACTTTTTGTGCAACTCATTGTCAGATAAAAACAGAAAACGAATTTATTCCATCTTTTTTGATGAAATAATTCAATCGCTTGTCCTCAGGTTTAGATTGGCGAGGCACAGGCTTTGGCGTTGGTAAACAAGAAAGAGGAACATTAAAAATACAAGGTACACATGCTGGTCGAGTATAGCCACCAGGCAGCTTAATCATTTCTGTATTTTCATGCCAATGTTTTTCACATATAAAAAATTTAGATAGCTCAATAATAAAACTTTTACGTAAAGCAAGAACATTAATCCATTTCTGTTTCTCAATTTCATCTTTCGGTAATTTAAAAATATTACACTTATTAAGTTTATATAATTTCCTTTACAATTTACAACGCCACATTTGTTCACCATGATAATGGTAAAATTTAAAAAAAAATGTTACAGGAACGTTTTAAAACACTTCAACTTTATAAATTACAATGTGATTATTATGGGGAACCATGGAACCAATTTAATGTGTAGTTTATAAGTTTACAAACTGAGTTATAAAAGGAGTTTATTAACTCTTATTACAAAATTGTAATTGTATCATTTATTGTATATTGTCTTTAGTAATTCGTATTTGTTGATTATGCCGCTTTTTAAAACTGCATTGAGTTTAGAAGAAGCACACAGTTTTATTAAAGACCATGAACTTGAGTATACAGTCGAGATATGGGATATGTGAGTCTGCGATACAAAATTTAAAAAATTCTTCATATTGGACAAACCATGAAGCTCTAAGAAATTATATATCAAGATATTGGTTCACAATAAAACATGTAAGTTTGATTTCTTGGTAGTTTGAGATTTAAAAATAACCTCCATTTTTAAAAAACTATTTTACTTCTACAAGACTGATCATGTAACTGCATTTAACAGTTAATAATTTCTAAAAATTCTTTTTATAATCAGCGTTGGGTAACAGCTTTTTGTCATAACCGTTTTCTGGTCAATTGCAACACAAACAATGGTGTTGAGCGACAGCACAAAACTCTAAAACATAAATATCTTTTAAATCACCGGTATATTTCTCTTACTAGGATGTTAACTGTTGTAGTTGAGGATTTTCTTTGTGATAAGTATGAGAGGTATGTTAACATTATAATAATATTTATTTTGTATAAATTTCTAAATATTCCATAACAAAAGTATTTTTATATAGCTATAATTGAGTACATTTTTTAAGTTCTAAATACATGCGTTATGCTGATGATATTGATTGTTGGATGATAGATTGCCCTCGACCTATGGTGAAAAATTGTCTTCTTAAGAAATCACTTGCTGAGAGTATTGACATTACAGGAATTCAAGTTGAGGGGTGTGGAAAATTTTCTTTGCGATATTACAAAGACAACACAGAGCAAAATTATGTAATAGATTTTGGTGATGAAAGCAAAATGCCAAGCTGTACTTGCATTGATTAGAAAAGGTCATGTTATCCTTGCAAGCATTTTTTTAAATATCCATGTTGGAACTGGGAGTCAATCTCTCCTTTATATAAAGTGTCTCCATATCTAAATCTAGATATTAATTTTGAATTTGATAAAGCAAAGACCAAAGGACCTAATGATAAACTAAATACAACTACTTATGCAAGTGACATTTCCAACAATGAGCATAAAGAATCCCGTACTGACAGAAATGAAAATGGTGAAGTGATAGCAGAAGCTCAAAAAGAAAGAAATACAGGAAAGAAATCAATTACTAGTAAATCAATAAGGAGCCTTTTGAGTAAATAAAAAATCTCAGTTTTCTAATTGAACATGACGAAAATTTGCTTGAAAACACATATAGAGAGTTGAATAACATCATTGAAAATGTAAAAAATGCTGTACCTAAAGAAAATATGTAAAAAAAATGTAGTAACTGAAGCAATGAATAATATTTTATTAGACTATGAAAACTTATTAGAGTTTAAAGATAGCCCCATTGTTTGCAGTGATGATGAATATACAGGTTCTGATGAAAATACAAATACAGATTAAAAAAAAAAAGTAAAATAAGTCTCTGTCAAAATAAATTGTCAGATATATCAAACAATGGATGGCTATCTGATAATGTTATAAATAGGTTTCAAAACATGATGAAAATCCAATTCAAAGATATCAATGGTCTGCAAGACACTATTCTTGGACAAAATGCTTTCAATACTTACAATAATATGCCATTTGTTCACATCTATATGTTGCCATTTCAACATATAGATGTAAACCTGGTGAGCTTTTCTTGATGGACTGTCTATTTCATGGTAAGGTTGCGCATCATACAAAGCAACTGATATGTGCCATCATGAAATGCACACATAACAAGTTAACTATTCATGTATTACCGGTTCAACAGCAGTCAAA